TTGCTTGCTTGCTTTGGGAGTTTGTCTGCCTACTCTTTGGCAGACATTATCCGTTCCTTAGTTTAGTTGCCTCCTGGGTTGCTGGACCTAAGCTAGTCTGGCCACATCATCTGGTTGATGTTGACGTGTTGTCCAGGTCCGATGGGACCTTTACACCCTCTCTGTCAAATATTGAATAGTTCATTGGAAATGTTCTGCAAATAATTTTTCCTTCCTTATCTACCATTGTGCTTCTCTCTAATCTGAATGTTTGATGCTTAAGTGAAAGATTGCTTTCTTAGCCTTGAGCTTTTTTCACGAATTTGAAATATATGAATGACAGATTTGTCTGGCGGAAGAAGATAGAGCATGATATTACTCAAGGCTTGCCTCTTGACGAGTTTTCTGTAAAAGCTGAGAAGAAGAGGCAGAGGGAAAGAATGGTACCTGTTCCATGCTAGTTTTGTATTATGTTTTTTCGTTGTATCATGACCTTATAGTAATATAATATGGTAATATGAAACATGCTATTTAAATAATGTGAGTCATCTTCCTCTTTTTCATGCTCTCCATTGCTATCTTTCTTGTGGCCTTTCTAGATTTTTCATGAATGGAGAATGTGTCAGGCTATAATGATATAATTCATATACATGTAAAATGGAGCAATGACTTCTGCCTTGATCTAGATTCTAAAGGGAACATGGAAAGTTAAAAATTGACAAGAAATTCTTTCAGCTATGAGAGAATTGCATTAGAGTCAAGGTTTACTTCTATGCCTGTCGAAGATGTCAATGAGCTGTCAAGTATACATCAGCGCAAGCATAGTACAGAACATCATGATAACCTTTTTTCTTAATTCTTCTTCCCATGTTAAACCGTACATTGTAATCTAGTCATCAATAAGTAATGATACTTTATTGTATCATTCTTTTTTGGGAGGTATTTTCTCCCCTCTTTTCCTTTTTATCGTGATGGGTCATTGTGGTCGTGATCACATGAGTTTTACACTTGGATTTTGTGAAGAGGTTAACTTGTTGTGGAACTTCCTTCTGGGTCCTTACATCAACTTATGCTCTTTTTTCTCCAAGTTAAGATTGTTTCTGGGTCTTAATGGTCTAAACATCTATCTTTTTTAACTGAAAAGTGTAAGGATAATTTATTTAGTGATTTTATACTCTTCGTAATTGCATGCCTCAATGCCTCATAGAATTTTGATTTACTTCATGCAATCTTAAATACCGGTTTACCCCCCTTGATAACATTGTATTGTGGTCTAGGTGCATTCTCCGGTTAGAATATATTTATTTATACTTTTTTATTGATCGTAGGCCGAGGTTGAGAAAGTGAAAAAGAGAAGGGAGGAAAGAGCTCTTGAGAAAGCACGACACGAGGAAGAGATGGTAGGATTTGATTGCATCTTTCGACAAAACACGTTTTTCTTGTTATCTCCGGTGGAATGTTTGTTTTTGCTGTATTGTTGCAGATTTTTTCATTTATCTCCATTACTCATACACCAAATTTCAAACCCAAATGACCTTCAAATTGCAGGCATTGTTAGCAAGAGAACGTGCTCGGGCAGAATTCCAAGACTGGGAGAAGAAAGAAGAAGAGGTGGAGTGTTTGCTGCTTTCAGTGTTCTGTTACTTTTGTTAGTTTTTTTATGTACTATTTGAGAAACCGTGCTCTATTAATTTTCCAAAATTTACTTTCTGCTGACATGCTAACATGTTATTTACAGTTCCATTTTGATCAAAGCAAAGTTAGGTCAGAGATCCGGTTACGTGAAGGGCGTACTAAGCCGATTGATGTACTCATTAAACATCTTGATCCTTCACATGAATTTGATATAGAAATAAATGAACCATACATGGTCTTCAAGGTAAACATTTCCTGAGTTACTCAACTTTTTTTTCCCCGTCTTAGTTCCTTTTTCGTGCTATATAATTAAGAGGAGAACACTAAGAAAGCTTGTGAACATCTGTCTCGTAAATATGAGCCTGATAATTATGAAGGTTCAAAAAAGTCAGAACATTAAGATCCTAGTATGTTTGTGTTAGTGCACCTGTGAGTCTCTTGGATTTCTATATCGAGTAAAAAGAAGGTAAATTAAAAGGAAAACAACTGTACTTTTCAAGTATCTCCTTCATTTATTATGGTTTGAAGCTTCATGCAATCACTGTCTATCACTATCGTTTCTTGTATTCTCTTGTCACCATATTGACATTTGACCATGATTTGCTGTATCAGGGTTTGAATGTAAATGAAATGGAGGAGCTTCATGAGGACATAAAGATGCACCTTGATTTGGACAGTGAAACTTCGACTCGTGTACAGTACTGGGAGGTATTATCTCCTCTATTTACATGTGCAGTATGATATTGTCTTGGAAGATCTTACTTCTTTATACTTGTATATAACATCTTTTCGTCGCAATTTACTTTTTTGCTTATTTCTTGATTTACTCAATACGTCTCCTATATTGTATTCAATCTTGCAATACTGCTTAATAAAGCTTAAAACTTTGACGAACATATGGACAACTCAAATTTTTGACAATATGAACTGTTAGTTCTGGTATTTCATAGCAGTGAGAATTGATATTAGTTCTGCTTCAACATAGTTACTTTGCTTATACGTATTCTTTGTTTGTCCTTCAGCAATTCCTTGCAATTAGCTAGAAATGCAATTCATCATGGTATGGAAAGAACCTAAAAAACATTTGGAGGTTTCACAAGGGTCTGGGTCTTTTGAGAGTCATATCTGCCTGCTTGCAAACTTGAAAACATTACACGATGCAGAATTGCAGGTTGTACAGCGAGATACTGTGTGAGGGTCAATCATATTTCATATTTTGATCTTCGTTGTACAATGTTTAGCCCCTGTTTGGTAGAAATTAATTTTTCAGCTACAAATTTCATCAATTTTTATCAAAATCTGCTAAAAATCTTATTTTAATGTCCACCAAACAGAGGCTTAATATATTTTAGGTTACAGATGGTTGACCTGTCCTATCATTTATTTGATCCCCTTCTTTGTATGTATAACTCGTCTCATTCTTACTTAGTCACCTACAAAATGAAATACTGGGCTTCCATATTTCACTATTGTTTGTATGCTGAAATTTTCTAGATACTCTGACTTTTGTGATTTTATTTTCTCACATTAAACATAGTGTACATGAACCTTAATATTGCATATTTACCCTTTACAGCCATAAATGTCGGAAAAAAAAGCAACTCTGTTCATGCTAATAATGTTGGCCCCAGCGTAATGTTATCAAGGATTTCTTGTACATATAAATGTACCGACTCTAGAAGCCTGGCTTTTCTTGACAATTTCTTCTCCTTTCCACAACCTTTCAAATGGGATGACGTGAGTCCTTTGTGTGCACCCCTTATCCCATGTTTGTTCATTGCTGAGTTTCTGCTGCATGACTTGCTCATGTCGATTCCTGTTATTTGGGGTAAAAAAGCATTTGACAGTGTGT